ATCCTCAGCAAACATTGAGAGGAATGAGTCAATACCCTCCGGGAGATCACTTACGTATATCAGAAACAGGATAGGACCGAGTACAGAGTTTTAGTTTAGTTCATTTATTATGCACCCCATACCCATCTTGTGGGCGGTAGTGGAAAGGGTTACAGAGGCACATAATGGGCTCAGGGACTGAACCCCACAATTCATATAGCTAAGCAAGTTACAATCTTGATGAGCTAGTTACAAAATTCAATATAAGTCGTCACATCAACAATGGGTTCGAGATCGACCTCAAGTACAGGTTCTAAATTAAGCAACTGACATATGTGGAGAGCTAGTGTCAAAATTTATATGTTTGTCCTGCACACCGCCCCCCATCCAGTGGGCAGCGGTGGATAGGTTACAATCACTTAGTTACTACCTACAGTTAACAAACTGGGGATATTTGGCTAAAATTTCTGGTAGCAGATCATTTTGAATGAAATATTGACACATCGCTGGAACATTGGTTATAGAATTGTCTCTAAATTCACGTATCTTTTCGCACTCCATCACATAGTGACGGAGGGTGTGCGAATAATTTTGTTGACACAGTTTACATTTGGTCAGGTCTACATCAGCAGATAATGAGAATTCCCAGAGATACTTGTAACCGAGTCTAAGCCGAGCAGTAGTAACATCTAGAAGTCTGCTGATTTTATTGGATGATCCATAGATGTGTGGCTCCTCTTGCATGATAGTATGATGATGTGGAACTTCACTGGTGACTTCACACCAATCTGAGGTCTCAACCCTCACTGTAAATCTCTGCTTCCTATTGCTTAGGTACTCCCTTATCCATTAGAGCACCTTACCAGTCACTCCTGCCTGTCTCTCCAGCTTATGTACCAGTCTCTTATGGGGTACTGTGTCAAAGGCTTTCCGACAATCCAAGAAAATGCAGTTTGCCCAGCCTTCTCTTTCTTTCTTAATCTTTGTCACCTGGTCGTAGAATTCTATTAAGCCAGTAAGGCAAGATTTACCCTCCCTGAACCCATGTTGGCGATTTCTCCCGACAACATGGGTCGGAGGGCAAGTGCTTCACTGACGAATTTTGTTCGAACAACAACGCTGTAAATGCTTCACCGACGTACTACAAATACAAATAATCACCAACAGAACCTAAACACCTAACCTAACCTATGCCTATATATCCACAATATGCTAATATACTATAATATTAATTTATATTTGAGAAAATTCCTGTTTTGAATGAACAGCATGTAAAAATTTATGAAGGCGTCTGTGTGGTCGACCGCTGGATGTAATGGACTTGAGTCGAGGACGGGTTACCCTTTCCACTACCGCCCACAAGATGGGTATGGAATGCATAATAAATGAACTAAACTAAACTTACCTGAGGTTCACTAACACTGTAGTGGCCTCGACGAGTACAGGAAGCCGGCGGCCTATCAAAGGCCCTTTTATCCTGATGACTTTTTCAAGCTGGATTTTAAAAGTTCAGCAGTTTTTGCATTACAGCTTTGGCGGGTAGGCAGTTCCTTGGGTTATGTTCTATATGCAGCAATAACGAACAATAAACTGACATAACATTGAGATAAGCATAATTTTCTAGTGTAATATATGGAATTACTAGAAGTGAAATGATTAAAATATGATTTTATGTGTAGCACCTTGGAAATTTTTATTGTAATCTGTGGCCTTTGATATTCGTATTCTATTAAAACACTTTCCTCCCACGCGGACACAAAAATGGGACAACTATTTTTCTCTTGAATGTGAGCGCGCGACATATTTTTATGTCTGATGAACAAATAGTTCTATAATATTCAATTCTTATCCGATCGAGTTGGGGATAGTATGAAGATGTTTGCCATAAAATTTGCGTTTTCTTTCATAGCCACATAGCCTATTTAAGAGAACGGAATTGTCTTGTATCTTCGGGGTAAAACTATTGTATTGATGACACGACAAGTGTAATCAACGAAGTTTCTTTATTTGGTGCCGATCTAACGCATTCTTGTGTGACATTTTATACATATGTTCTTCTAGAACATTCTATTCCGAACACATTGGTATAAAAATGAAATACGTACATAGAAAATTAAGGTCAGGACAGTGAAAAGAATATTCACTTTTCAATACTGGTTTCGCCGATGTGCGGTAACGGGTAACACTTCGCCCACTTCCCACACTCTTGCGGGTGGGCCGCGATCATGATTTTACATTTATATGCATATGTCCGTGTAGAGAATTTTATTGCGATCTCAGAGATACCAAATTTAACGCTGTAGAACAAGTGTGGAGTTGACAACCCTGAAAAGAATAGAAACATTTCGTCTGTGTTTGGAGCTCACGGCTAGTGATCGACGTAGTTCTTTATTTGGTGGTGGTTTAACTCATGCTTTGGTGACATTTTATATATATGTTCTTCTAGAACATTCTATTGCGAACACATTGGTATAAAAATGAAATATGTACATTGAAAATTAAGGTCAGAACAGTGAAAAGAGTATACACTTTTCAGTGTTGCCGCTCGATCGCCCGAAACGCGGAGAGCACCTAGCTTGCACTAAGTTTTTTCTCGTTTGCCGGGAGGAGGAAAGTGTTAAGATAGTTAACACACGTCTCTGCTTCCAAAATATATGCTTTAATGACAAATATTTGAGAATATAATGTGTTTCCTAACTTATGATGATATAAAGCATATTAAGGTTCATAATGAAGATGAATTTCCTCAATATCAAGCTCAACAAGTCACACTGTTGGAATAAAGACAGGAGATACTTTTTCACCTTGTATATAGCGACTACAAACAATATACTCACTACAGTCTCTCATTAGCTTAATGGCGTAACTAATTAGCATTAATTACACAGGCTATAATCCTATCCCTATTTACAGGTAACATTCTCTCCATCCTGGTTGGAGGAAGCTGAGGTGTAGTCACCGAATATAAGCAAGCAAAAAGTGAATAGCCAACCGGGAGACATCTCCCGTCATGCAGGGTGCAGTCGCACCTCCACAGATCTCCAGTATCAGCTAATGATACTGGTAATGCCTCAAAAGGGCAACCACTTACGGGCTATTCATTCCCGTGCCACCTTTTGGGTGGCTTAATCTTCATTAATCAATCAATCGAATAACCCACAGCACAATTTCCACAGTGATTTGGATAACTCCAGTACAGACGCTTTGGATTTACTTCACCTCTTCAACCTCAAGAATGTAGCTCTCGGCGTGTACCGTTCTAATCGACCCCAAGACGCTACAGCTTCGACTCAGAGCAGACAGCAGACTAGTGGCTTTAGGTATTGTATGTACTAGCTCTATCTGCACATCCAACATTATGTTTGTAAATCAACTATGTATGTACGTTCCTGAATAAAATTTACTTTACTTAACTTTACTAGGACCGCATCGAGCGACAATGCTCTCTCAAGCCCTATCAAGTTTAGACACGATTCCTCAATCGAGCCGCCACGATCTTGTAACGTACAATTATGTTACGTTGTTGTTTTTTTTTTTTTTTTTTTTTTTGAGATATATACAAGAGTTGTTACATTCATGTACAGCCACTAGTACGCGTAGCGTTTCGGGCAGGTCCCTGGAATACGATCCCCTGCCGCGAAGAATCGTTTTTTTTCATCCAAGTACACATTTTACTGTTGCGTTAAACAGAGGCTACAGTTAAGGAATTGCGCCCAGTAAATCCTCCCCGGCCAGGATACGAACCCATGACATAGCGCTCGCGGAACGCCAGGCGAGTGTCTTACCACTACACCACGGAGACTAATAAATTTACAGTCGTTAAATAAACGGTTATGTTACGTTGTTGGGTTGATTAGATACACAGTGTTTAGTGAGTTTCATATTTATTTAGTAGTCCTGGATACAGCAGTGTCGTAGACGTTGAGACGAAGCCTGGAGCAGAGCAGAGAGCTGAGTGAGGCCGGAGTCGTGGAGCTCTATGTGGGAGAGCGTGGCGGCTCAATTGGGAATTGTGAGTGTCTGAACTCGGGGAGCGAGAGCGTGGCGGCTCGATGCGGTCGTAGTCTGCTGTCTGCTCTGTGTCGAAGCTGTAGCATCTTGGGTCGATTAGAACTGTACACACCAAGTGTTACATTGTTGACTGTGGAAATTGTGCTGTCCGCTATTCATCAAATCGCTTGCTTATATGGTAATTACACCTCAGCTCCCTCCAACAAGATGAGAAGAGTATTACCTGTAATTGGGGAAAGGATTGTAGCTTCTGTAATTAGTTATGCTATTATGATAATGAGATAATGGAGCGAGTATAAGGATTACTCGCTACACTCTCCCGCATAAAGCTCCGCGACTCCGGCCACGCTCAGCTCTCTGCTCTGCTCCAAGCTCCGTCTCAACGTCTACGACACTGATGTATCCAAGACTACTAAATAAATATGAAAACCCACTAAATACTATGTATCTAATCTACCCAACAACGTAACATAACCGTACGTTACAAGCTACTTGGTTATAAACCCATGGAACTGCCTACTCGCCAGAGCCGTAACATGTCAAAACGCTGCTGAATTTGAAAATCCAGATGGAAAAAGTCCTCATGGAAAATGGGGGAGGGGCTTTAACAAGCCGCTGGCTTCCTGCCCTTGTCGAGGCCACTAGCATGTTAGTTGCCCCTTAAGGTAAATTCAGAGCGTTGAAGCAGGGAACGTATACCAGCGAATAACGATCAACATCTGTATAACAAAATCACTCTCGTATCGAGTTGATTTAACTTTCCAACCATTATTTTTTTTTTTCAACAAATGTTAAACTTGTTTTTTTAACTATTTATCCAACATATTGTTATAAACATTACAGTCTGTTTGTTAATATCACGTAATGGAATTTGCGGCGATTCGATAAGTCGCTCCACAACGTTGGCCCTTAAATCGTCGCTGACTTAAGGTGTCCTCCCGCTTATATATTTTAGTCGAATTTCGTTATAAAATGAGATTATTTCATTATAGATTTAGTTTTCGCGTTCTACATTCAGCTCCAACATTATAGTGGGTTAAATATGTCATATTTCTTCTTGACTTAATGTCGTGGTAGGAGCCTGTGGATGTGTTGTCGTCTGGACGGGTGGTGGACGGGTCCAGGTAAACCTTCTCCTGCTCCTTCTTGAGGCTACACGCCAGGTAAACTGTGTGGTATACTTCCTGGGGGCTGCATGCCGGGTAAACTGTGTGGTATAGCTCTTGGGGTTACACACCGGGTAAACTAGTTTAGCGCCTTGGGCTACATGCCAGGTAAACTAATATACCTTCTGGGGCTACATGCCAGGTAAACTTTTTGTGCCTGGGGCTACATGTCAGGTATATTGCAGTATACCTCCTGGTGCTGTATGACAGGTGACCTAGCATACTGTACTACTTTGTCTTAATCATTAAATTAAATGTAGTACAGTATTTATAATCTTTAGTCTCCGTGGTGTAGTGGTAAGACACTCGCCTGGCGTTCCGCGAGCGCTTCGTCATGGGTTCGTATCCTGGCTGGGGAGGATTTACTGGGAGCAAATCCTTAACTGTAGCCTCTGTTTAACTCAACAGTAAAATGTGTACTTGGATGTAACAACGATTCTTCGCGGCAGGGGATCGTATTCCAGGGACCTGCCCGAAACGCTACGCGTACTAGTGGCTGTACAAGAATAGAACAACTCTTGTATATATCTAAAAAAAAAAAAAATCTAGAAATGATATTTATTGTAAACCCAATTTTTTATTGGTAGTCCTTATTCGTTGTTTCGAATCATATGTTTTATTGAGATGGATTTTTTTTATTACTTGCTGATCTTTGATGCGTCCAGAATTACATGGAGTTCATTAGCGTTATCTAATTCGCGGTTGGTCGTCTCAGGACACTCAAACATGATTTACATTGTCAGTGTAATAAAATTGGTTATCTTGGGCTTATTTCAAACTTTATATTGTGATTCAAAAGAAGTGTTGTTCTATAAAATGGCATTAGAGTAGAAGCTGTGCATGCACAACCCTGGATAAGTAATACCTTCAAGCGGAGATTTGTTAAGAAACGGTGTCCGGGTACTTGAGCACCAGTCCCCAGACATCTTAGTGCTAGTCTCTAGACGGTGTCATACATTATTAATTTTTGTAAAGAAACTTTACCAATTTTACTAAGCATATTTGAGAATAACAGACCTGGCTCCTGGATGTTCAGCCTCGTGTGTCCGGAGACTGGTACACAACAGTACAGTACAGTACTTGGGAATGTCCAAGACACTCGGGTTTCCTAATGTTTGGCGGTGCATTTCTTAGGGAAATGCCGAATGTTAGAATCTGAGATTATAAGGTATGTTAGCAGGGTTTTAGTACTCTTTAGTAGGGTTTTTCTTATTGCTTGGAGATCTTTTATTTTTTTATGTTATGATTTCCCATGTGTCTGGAGAATCACAAACCATGTTCACTGAAATGACGATTGTTTTGATCTAGTATTAATTAGCAAGGAAATGTGGTGTTTAGTCATGTATTGTTAGCATTTTGAATTGAACTATCAGTACTTGATTTTGCTGTCTGAGGCAAGACTGTTAGATGATTTTGAGTCTGTTCTCAAGACTACTTTTTTTTTTTTTTTTTTAGATATATATACAAGAGTTGTTACATTCTTGTACAGCCACTAGTACGCGTAGCGTTTCAGGCAGGTCCCTGGAATACGATCCCCGCCGCGAAGAATTGTTTTTACAACCAAGTACCCATTTTACTGTTGAGTTAAACAGAGGCTACAGTTAAGGATTTGCGCCCAGTAAATCCTTCCCGGCCAGGATACGAACCCATGACAAAGCGCTCGCAGAACGCCAGGCGAGTGTCTTACCACTACACCATGGAGACATTAAATATTAGGTTTCACCATAATGCCTCTTCCTAGCTGTGTACCCCAGTGTCATCCTTAAGATTAAGGACCATACATCCTTCTGAAAACAAAAAAAAAGAACTCGGTAAATAAAATAACCTTTTAAATTTAACAATAATAAAAATAACTAAGATTTTTGTAAGAACATGCACTAAATTGTGGAAATATTAATGTTATAGAAACATGTTAAAATAAAGATTGTAAGATTCGTTTACTGTTGCTTTATATATTTAGACTATATTTTTTTGTCAGTGCTCACCGGCTGCCGGTGAGCCTGTCCGGTGACTGATGACTTGACCCTACTGCATAAACTAACACAATCAAATATTTAGCAAATAAGAAAAAATATATAACATAAATACTCTGTAAAGGAACAGGGACTAAAATAGTATGAACTTATTTCATGACTTAAATTTCCAGTCATTTTAGCCATCCTCTACCTTGTGTCATTGTTTCAAAGCTTTGTGAATATCATTACGATGCTAGTGGACTCTCAACCTACTAGGACATTAATTTGTATTAAGTTTCCAGCCTTGCAACTGATGAAATTATATGTTTTAGAGAAGCATCATCAATCATTACTCTTTACCCCTTTGGCTTCCCGGAGCTTTACCGGGCTGATGTGTATATGTTAGACCATGGCAACAGTCAATCGAAGGAGTTCTAAGCCTACCGGGGACCAGAGCCAGAACCTGGCCACCTCAAGAGAGGCACGAGGAGCAGTGGCCTAAAGACACTCCCGTGTAACTGGAAGCAGTCTTTGTCTGCCATCTACCAGGTCAGGCACCTAGAAAGGTAAGAATTTCAAAATAAACTACCGCTGGTCAAAAATTGCAAACCGAAAGCCGAAGTAGCAAACGGAACTCCCCAATCAAAAACAAGGGAATAAACTTGACGTCACCACAAACGTCGCACATCCGTCTGTGCAACCCCCCCCCCCCCCCTGAGATGGGGAGGGGTGGGGGCCCCAGACCTCCATGCCAGCAACTCTCCTCAGTTCAAGAGGCTGTTGTGTTGGTGACGGTCGATCGCTGTGGCTCCACTCTTTGCACAGTGCTGCAGTACAGTGTTGTTGCTCTGTTTTGGTGGTGTGTGAGCCAGAAGTAACACAAGAGTACTGGGGCTGCATGCACCTAGGGCTACCTTCCCGAGGTGCCCTGTAAGTTCTGCCTTTGTGTCCTCAGGGTTATCTTCCATGAGTAGTTCAGGAGCAGCTACCTCCATGTGGTTCTATCGCTGCTCGGTGATTGCCCTTGGATTGCCCTGAACCACTCTTGGGAGTTCAGCTGGGGTGGTTCTTACTCCTGTTTGCCCTTGGGTAGGAAGTAGTTTCGTCGCTAGCTGGGGCGCGAGGTACTGTGCTGCTGTCTGATATACGCATAGTAACCGGTTCTGTTCACCTGTAGACGTTGTACTTTTGTGGGGGTTTTCTTTTGGTTTTGGTTTTGATTTGCCTGGTAGGGGCCTGGCTGGTGTGGCAATAGGACCACTTGTAGGATTTTGGTGGCCCTCCACTAGGTCCCCGTGCTTGCACACATCGCAGGGGGTTCAGCTTTTAGATTGTTTGCTTGGTACCTCTGGGATTACCAGTTAGCAGTACCTCACCTGGGCTTCCCTTAGCAGTCAGCCTAAGTGCCCTGGAAACCCCCATTGGTCCAATGGTGGAGACCTCTGAGTCCCACCTTGCCTTGTGCGAGTTTGAAGAGTGCTGTGTCTCCTTGTCTTAGGGTGACACTTCCCGTCTGCCTCTGCCTTGCTGCCTGTTGGGTCAGTGACACCTATGACCCGGAGTCCTGCGAGTGGTGTTTTTTGCTTGTACTCCATTCACCCAGTCTACTGAGACTAATAATTGGGTGCAGGCAGCTTTAGCGTTGCATGCGAGGTTTAGGTTGCAGCAACGTGCGAGGTTGTTTGCCTTTCTGGATGCCCCGCAGCTGTCCTGCTGAACTATACTGGTGGTAAGACTTGGGCGGCTTTGGGGATTGTCCCTTCTGGATCAGCAGCAGAGGTATTCGAACCTGTTCCTCCTGCCGGAGCTTTTAGGCCACACCAGCGAACCCCCTTCATCCCTGCTTTTCCGGTGGACTCTGCTTTTTCTCCAGAGGCAGAGGGTTTGGAGGATGGCTTGGCCCTGGGTCCTGACGTGGAGGATTCTGGGGCTGGGGAGGAGTTGACTTGGGGGGCCTGGGCCCCACTTGTCCCTGCTTTGGTGTTTGGTGTTTCACCCTATCGCCCTGTTGATGGGGTGATAGGGGGAGGCTCGCGCTGTTTGTTCTCGCTTGGTCCCACGATTTGTGGGTAATTCGGGTCATTTTCCCCCGGCCTGCGGTGGGGGTTGCGTCTTTCCTTCTTCGGGGGGATTGGGCCTTGCAAAGCAGGCTTCTTCCCCTGCACTCTGTTAGGTCATCCTGGAGTGGGTTTCCCACCTGTTTTCAGTTCTGAAACGGGACTGGGCAGATCTGCAAGTCATACTGGATTTGACTCGTCTGATCCCCTGGGTCTTTTGCCCCTTCTTTCAGATGTCCACTCTGTCTCGGGTCCGGCTGCTTTTAGCACCGGGTGCCTAAATGGTGTCTCTGGACCTCCCATTTGAGTTCTGGCTTACCTCGACGATTTGCTGGTGTGGGCTCCCAGCCAATCTGCTTGTCTTCTCGCCAAGGATTTGGTTCCTTACCAGCTCACTGGGTTCGGTTTCTTGGTGTACTGGAAGAAGTCCCATTTGGTTCCCTCTCAGGTTCGGACTGGGCTGGGTCTTGTGTGAGTCTCAGACCGCTTCCTTCTCTCCCTCTGGTGGCGTTGTTGCGGCTGCAGTCCCGCTTACGACTGTTTTTGGAGAACACCTGGGTCACACGTCGGTTGTTTGAGTAGTGTTGCGGGAGCCTGAACTTTGCCGTGCTGGTCTACCTGTCTGGTCGAATCTGGCTTTGGCGGAAGTTCTGGTTTCTTCGAGGACGTCCCTTCCACCGCTTTCGTGATCACTGTGTTCGAATCCCGGGAGCCTTGTGTTGGCTGCTGTGTTGCCTCTGAGGGTTTTTCGGGGTTCCGTGCCCTGACGCCTCCCCGAGCCCTCGCTCGATGTGTTCATGGATGCCTCATCTCTCGGCTGGTGTTTTGTTACCAGTGCTCACCAGGCCAGCCAGAGTCAGTGGGGTCAGTCCTTTCGTCGGGCTCACAGCACAGCGCAGGAGTTGGCGGTGGTGTGGCATTCGCTTCAGAGGGTTCGTGTTGCTTGCGGAGCAATGATCTGGCTCCATTTGGACTGCTTCTCTGTGGTTCATTGTCTGAACCGCGAGGGTTCGATGTGGTCCTTGGCTCTCCTGGCAGTTCACTTTCAGGGGGTGTCAAGCGTCCAGGCGGTTAGCCTGTCTCGGTTCATTCCCCTATCCATGGAATGGACGGTCGACACAGACTCGCTCAGTTGGCTCTGCCGGACATAAGGGCACCTAGAGCTGGACCTCTTCTCATCGATATGGTTGAGACGTCTTCCAGTGTATGTGGCGCCCTTCCCAGACTGCGAGGCCGTTGAGGTCGATGCCTTTCGGCTGGACTGGTCGAGTTGGGATTACCTGTATCTCTTCCCACTGGTTCGGTTGTTGCTCCGGGTCCTGGCTAGCTTGGAGAGACTTACTAGGGACGAGTAGTCCTGTTAGTTTTTTGGTGGCTGCCCCAGCCCTGGTTTCAGGCACTTCTTGCTCGATGTCCGAACCTGAGAGACTTACCGCGGCTCCGCCTCTTTCAGCAGATCGGTCTATTCAGGTACGTGGCTGGTTCGATCATCTCCGCTTTTCACGTCTGGTCTTTATGACAAGGGTTTATCACCACTTGTATGGTGAGCAGGTGCCTTAGTTGATGGTGTCCCACCTGCGAGTTTCGTCTCAACGGCAGTATGAAATTTCCTGGCAGTCCTTTCAACACTTTGTCTCTTCGTAGGTTGTCTTCGATTTCTGGTCGGGTTGTTTTGTCCTTTCTCTCTTGGTTGTTTCAGGACTATCTTATACCAAATACTGTCGCCTCGTTTTGGGTGGCTCTGGTGAAGCTGCTGCAGCTTGCATTTGGGGTGGATGTCACTTCTGCTCTGTTCCGCAAGCTTTCTCTGGCAGCTTTGTTTTCACCTCCGGCCTGCTCATGCGCCGCCTGAGCCTTCTTGGTCGTTGCACCGGGTGCTCTCTTCTCCCTTCTCCTCAGTTTGTGGTAGTTGGTTGGTTCGGCCGGGGGTGCATCATGTTTTGTGTCAGTTTGTGGCTCTTCGCCGTTATTTTCGCGCCACGGCCTCTGTGGCAGAAGACGCACTTTGGGTTGACCCAGTTTCCCCTTTTACTTTATTCCAGGGCGTGGGTCACCCAGGTTGTCCACAAGATTATTTCGTCCAGCCAGCCTGTGGTCTATCCCCTTGCCCACGTTGTTCGTAAGTTCGGCTGCTGTTTTGGTAATATGTCTTGGCCGGTCGGCCGAGCGGACAGCACACTGGACTGTGATCCTGTGGTCCCGGGTTCGATCCCGGGCACCAATGGGCAGAGAAACAATGGGCAGAGTTTCTTTCACCCTATGCCCCTGTTACCTAGCAGTAAAACAGGTACCTGGGTGTCAGTCAGCTGTCACGGGCTGCTTCCTGGGGGTGGAGGCCTGGTCTAGGACCAGGCCGCGGGGACACTAAAAAGCCCCGAAATCATCTCAAGATAACCTCAAGAATCTTTCTGGCACGGGGCTTTTGGAGGTCGAACAGGGTCCTGGCTGCACGTTACCTTGTTAATGTTCCTAGTCCTTCTCAGGCATGTGTAACCTTGGGTTGCAGGTTGCGGCCAGTGGTCTCATCTTTGAGTTGAGGAGTGAGTGATGACTGCCTCCCAGGTGAGTCCCTTTTCTTCTTATCTTTGGTTAGGTATCTTCAGGGAGCCGAAGGGGCTCTCCACAGAAAGCCAGCATTGAATTTAATGAAACGCCGTTTTCTGGGGTGAGACCCGGAGGCTCCCCGGCATCCCTCCCTCCCTCCGGTCGGCGGTTTTTCGTGTTTTTGATACACAACCTCTGGACTGAGGAGAGTTGCCGGCTTGGAGGTCTGGGACCCCTCCATCCTCCTCCTGGGGAGGGGGGGAGTTACGCAGATGGATGCGTGGCAGTTGTGGTGACGTCATGTTTGTTTCCTTGTTTTTGATTGGGGAGTTCTGTTTGCTAGTTTGGCTTTCGGTTTGCAATTTTTGACCAGCAGTAATTTGTTTTGAAATTCCTACCTTTTTTGGGTGCCTGACCTGGTAGATGGCAGAAAAAGACTGCTTCCAATTACACGGGGGTGTCTTTAGGCCATTACTCCTCTGCCTCGCCTCTCTTGAGGGGGCCAGGTTCCGGGCTCTGGTCCCCGATAGGCTTAAAACTCCTTCAATTGACTGTTGCCATGGTCTAATACTGTATATACACATCAGCCCGGTATAACTCAGGGGAGCCTCCAGGTCTCGCTCAGAAAATGGTGTTTCATTACATTCAACTCTGTATTTTTTTTTGTAATTGGCAGATAAAAAGAATAACGATGCCGATCAACACATCAGAGGTGCTGTCTCTGGTAACACAAGTATGTGAGGAGGAAAAGTTGCGTGTGGCCATGAAGGAGAGCATCAAGGGAGGATTCTTGGCAGGAGGGAGCACAATGATCGGTGGTCTGCTTGGTGGCCCCCTTGGTCTAGCTATAGGTATGCTTAAAACAAAAAATATAGTAATTTTTGTTTTAAAATATTGTAAGTTTTTTGTTATACATGTTATGTTAGAAAAATTACACATAATAAATTTTTCTTTTGTTTTACTAGGTGACCTGCAACAGAGTGACAAGTGCAATCAGGTCACATCCGATTTGGTTTTGGATTCAATTCCCAGGCACATTTGGGCACATTTTCTTACACACGATGCTTCTGTTTAACTAGCAGTGAATTGATGCGGGGGGGGGGGGGGGTTAGACTTGTTGTATCCTACAGGATGGTCAGTTATTAGCAAGAGGTACAGAATCTTGATAAACCTAACGACTTCTTATCCCTGACAGTTGGAAACCAAATGATTTGTATTTTTGGATATTTGCACACAAATACATACTTTACTGTTACCCCTGTTTCCTACTTTCATGGGGCACATTAACCCTTAAGCTGCGCAAAACGTCATATGAAGTGGGATATTGAGCTCAGTTTTTAACATTTGCTGAAATTCTTTCAAATGTTTTGTACATAATGTACTTGGCAAATGCTCCAACTTTGTCTAAATGATACCAACGTAACTTGAAAAATAAGATAATAAAAAATTATTATAAAATTTAATATTGAAAATTTCAGATTTTGAAATTGGCTGCAAAAATATAAAATATCACCAATTGTTCATTTGGTGTTATTATGCTCTCAGAATAGTATATGATCTTCATTTTCATATATTTAGAATATAGGTTTTCAGTATAGTTTACTATAAAAAAAATCGTCAGTGTGATATTTGAAATATGCGCACATTTAGACAACAAACATTTATAACTCCAAATGTTTAGGGTTTTTTGAAAAGTCAATTCTATAGGGATTGTAGAACAAGACAACTGTGCACACTACATGTGAAAATGGTGAGAATCGGTCAGAAACTAGATTTTTGGATACTGAAGTAATTTGCAATTCTAGTTACCCTATAGATATAATTTAAGTTGAAGCTATTGATAATGAATAAGGCAGTTCTTATTCATAAATTTACTTGTATGTTTTAATAAACATTGTTTGGCATTCGTACTTGAATATGTGAAAGTTGTAGGTCAATATGTGTTGAAATGAAGTCAAGAAAAAATACCCCCCCCCCCCCCCCCCCCAAAAAAAAAAAATATAGGGATAATTATAATGATTTAGGGGATATATTTAGGGTATACTTTATATAAGTGAAAAAGCCCTAATCTAGTCCCTAATTATCAAAACAACCTAAAGAGACAAGGAAAATAGTTTGAAATGTGAAAAAATCTGCCCAAAAAAAAATCAAAATCCCAAGTTCTGTGAGTTGTGACTGATTTATTTGTTGACCAATTTAATTGTGTCTTGGCATAGTTAGGGACCTGGTATGCACTCTCCAGGATGTAAAGGTTACAACAAAATCAGATAATAAACAAAGTAAACAAAATTCTCCTAAAACAAATGTTTTTCAGACATTGATGAAAGTAAGTGATTTTACCATTGTGCAGTGTATTTGTATGATATATACAAAATAGAGCATAGTAATGTACTTGCTCATTATTATTCATATTATGTTTTACTCACGAATGGTATAAATGCACCCAGTTGCATATCCACTTTGTGGAACCTTCTTACCACTTTTCTTACCACTTCTTCTTTCTTCTTACCACTGTATATCTTTGTGCACCAGACAGGTGTTTGCATCTCTTTATTACTGTATTATCCATCAGTTCCAGTTAATAGGAGCTGCTCTCCTTATCAACAAAACGTTCTTCTTTAAAAAAAAAAAATTGTGTAAAATCAATTTCTGAAAATATTTTGAAAGTTTCAGATGCTAAAGCCAATAAGTTGGAGGTTTGTTTAACTTTTTAAGTAATTTTTACATATGAATTTTTTTTCTTCCCTGCCCCTTTTGTTGAGCAATTTAGGGGTTAATATCAGATGCTAACACCAGTGGCTTCCATGAAATGAACCACTGGACATGGAGTGACTAATGTAGGCATGCAAATGTAGGGGAAGCTGTCTGCTGTCCCCCACACAAGTATTACCAAAGTGAAAACAGTGTTTTCACTTTGTCAAAGAAAACTGAAGTGACACTTTCAGAAGTGAAAGTTTCTTTGACACTTTCAGAAGTGTCAAAGAAAACTGACTCATCATGCTACCATTTGTTGCAATATTAGATATTGACACTTATTAGCTCTCCCAAATGATCTACTGAACAACATATTAATCACATTACACTGAATGTGTGATGTCTTTAAAATAAAAATACTGCCGATTTGCAGAAATTGGCAGTTATCTGCAGCCATGATAGTCACACTTTTACTGTGACTGTAAAGAAATAAATAAAAAAGCTAAAACCTTGCCACAGATAAATTACAAAATATTTTATTCATTGGGGTTAATTACACTATTTTATTTAATAATCTTTATGATAACTTTGTTAATAAATGGTAGTTTTAATACTGGTGTTTGCATTTTTTCCCCATTTGCCTTGAAAATAGAATATATGCAGCAGATGAGAATCTTGATGTTGTAGGTGGAACGATTGGAGGGCTGACTGCTGCGTATTTATCACAAGGCAAATTCAAAAGTGTAGCTGCCATCATTCAAAATGACCTAACTCCAGGACAAAAGGAACGCTTGGCTAATTCCGTTAGGGTAAGTACTGTACATTTGTCTGTTTATATATCTATTTTTATTTTTTGTATTTTTTTTTAATTTTTAATAAGTACCCTGGCAGAGGAGTATCTTGTGGTGAGAATCCCATGGAACCCCCTCACCTGCCAAAGCCGTAAATGCCAAAACTGTGTTTGGTTTCAAAGTACCTGGAAGTGATAAAAGGCAAATGGGGGGGGGGGGACCTTTGACAAGCCGCCAGCTTCCTGTCCTCGTCAAGGCCACTAGCGTTGGTGACTCGGGTAAACTATGTACAGTATAGAAGCTTGCACTATTCTGATCTCTATTTCTAAGCAACAGCCTGTTGGACCAAATTATTACAAGTCAAGCCTGGCCCTAGACTGTGCTTTGGGAGCAGGACTCCCAGAACCCACACCAGGTATATATATTTTTGTAATTCCTGTTGCCAGGGACAGGAAGCCTGCACTTAGGTTATCGAGCTCCCCCGCTAGGCCAACTAATTGCCTTTCCCAAGATACAACCCACAGTAATTACCTAACTCCTGGGTACCTATTTACTGTTGGGTAAAAAGGGATCAGGTGAAAGGATCAGCTTAGTCCATCCTTGGACTTTGTCCTGTGGGAGGCATTTGTTTGGTGTTATTCCACATTTTAGTTAGTTTCACAAGTGTGTTCTCGGTCCAGTTAGTGTTGTGTGGACTTGGCTCATAGGGTGGTTAGGGCTGCATGTGCAACCTGAGCAACCAAGAGTGCTCAGGGCAACCTTTCCTGTGTGCTCCCTAGCACTGCCTCTGCACTGACAGTTCTCTTCTCTGGTGTGTTTGGGCGTTCGCTCTTTAGATGCCGGACCACCAGCGTGGGGGGCATTGGTTCTAGTGCAAATGTTTTAGTTGGCGGTTCACGCACTTGTTTTATAAGGCACACTGAAATCGGTCTTCACAGCCACATTGACTAGGCTGTGTCAGTCTACTTTTATTATACCCAATGAGCATCCCTAGTCCCTGGATGTCTTGTTTGGTTAGTCCTTCGGACACCCTGGTAATGCTGTACAGGTTCCAGTCGGGGCGACTGAAACCTGGTGTCTTGCCTACTTGGTGTCTTCTTTTGATAATTACTTGAAGGCTGTCTCAATTAATTCCCTATGAGATGATTCCTTGAGCATATTTTCACTTGGCACTTGCCTGGCTTGCTCTCTCTTCTCATTCTATTTAGAATTCCCATGTTAAGATAATTAAAATAATTGAAATAATGTGGTCACTTTTTATTTTCAATTCTGGGATTTGATCGTGCTTTTGCTTCCACTTTATGTCCTCCCTGTATTATTGACTGTTACATGATCCTATGGATGGAAAGTTTCTGCATACAGTATTTTAAATTGTTAAAATTTGCCTATCTGTGAGTATGCAAGATGTCCAGCAGCACCATTAGTCAGATAACTAGAAGAAAAATATGCTAACTATTCATGATACTGTATAGGAAATTTATGATAAAACTTGGGTGGTCTTGCTGTAGCCAGCCTCATGAAGCAGTGTGGTGTTGTATACCGTACAGTATACAGTGACTACGTCATGTAAACAAATTCCTTTCGTATGGGATCGCCCCACTTAACCACAATAACCACAAAGCAAGTGGAGTTTTGTTCCAAAGATAGGAACATAAAAAACAGCACAAATTGTAATTGCATTCTGTTTTTATATTTTATATTTGTACAGCTGTGTATCATAACAGGGTTTTAATGTTAACAATGAGTTAAAATAATAAATGTTGTATTGTTTCTGGTAGAAGGCAAAACAAAATTCAAATGATTGAGCCCCTGCTGATGATAGATACAACAGAAGTTGGAATGGAATGAAAAGAGGTTGGTCCCCCTAATATATGTAATATCTTATATGTTTAGAAATCCATCTTTGATATTATTTTGTTTTAAGGCATGTCAAAATAGGAAGTGTTAACATTGAGAATTTTGTGATGCATTTAACTTATTGGTTTATATTTAAACCATATTTAAGGAATATTTAAGGAAGCCTCAAGTAGTACTTTCATGGTATGTAATGAAACACTTGTACAGCAGTATGTGATTATATTTCCCTGTGGAATATTTGTTGGAAATCGGTGACACATTGCCAGTAAATCTTCCTTTTGTGTGAGTATAGATAATACATAACTGAGGTAAGCTATTCATTTAGTGTAAAAAATTAAAAGTTTAAGGGAATTTCTTCTATTTTTAGCAATATTTGCAATATTAAGTACTCAAAAAAATAAAAAGGACACCACCATATGCATTCACATTGATGTAATTTTATCTAGAATGATATAATAATAGAGCAATTCCTTCATTATCTAGTATGTATGTTATAAAGTGAAGCTAAGTAATATTCCATTCAACATTCACTAGCTTTCTAGATTATACAGGTCTTATACAGTTTTGACACGTGGTTACTTCTGTAACTATAGCCTAATGTAGTTCACCCTATGTATTAAGGGATTTCAAATGGACTTGCCTAGTAATTGTGGCATGGAGACAATAGGCTATCTCAATTCACCACCAGTTAATGGACTTCTTATAATGTTAGAGATATTTTCCACACGAAACATCCTCTGCAAGCAATAATTGGAAACCTAGGGAGCATCAGGTAATGCTCCATGAAGTACCGTAACCAAACAAAGCTACTTTGACAGTCACCTGGTGTCTGTCACTACAATAGTATGAGGAAAGTAGGCTTCAATCACTTGACACCTGGCTTTAACCCCATTTACGTACCAACTCTGCAAAGACTATATTTTAGTTAAATTCTTTGCCTTGCTGTTCCTCGGATGGTATAGCGACGGTTTCGTTCATTCAGGTCCAAGTGGTTGGGCACCATTCTTTCCCCCATCCTATCCCTCATTCATCCCTTTCCAGAGGGATGAATGGAAAGCCCGGCTTTCCAGAGGGATCATTGGGCGGTTAATGCTTGGTTCTGCCAGGGTTGCATCATGTGTTGTGTTGTGTCCGGTTATGGTTCTTTGCCGTTATTTGCGCACCACAGCCTCCGTGACGAGGAATGCGCTTTGGGTTAACCCGGTTTCCTTTTTTCCCTGTTCCAGGGCTTGGGTCTTCCAGGTCGTCAGCAGAGTTATTAGGTCTAGCCAGCCTGCAGTTTATCCTTGTGCCCATGACGTTTGCAAATTTGCTGTTTTAGCTGCCGTTTTTGGTAACGTCTTGGGCTGACATTCGGGCGCAAGGATTTTGGAGGTCGAACAGGGTCCCGGCCTTCCGTTACCTCATTAATGTTCGAGCCCAAGACAGGGGTGTGTTGCTTTGGGTCGTAGGTTTCACGTTTTTGATATTCAGCTTCAGAACGGAGGTTGGATAGCTGGCATGGGGGTCTGGAGCCCCCCTTTTCCCTCACGGGGAGGGGGGGAAAGTTGTGCAGAGGCGGGTGTGACGTCATGCTTGTTTGCTTGTTCTTAGATTGGAGAGTTCTGCTTAGCAGTTCGGCTTTTTGGTAGCAATGTTTCACCAGGTGGAGTCTGTATTGGGACACCTACCTTTCTGGGTGCCTAACCCGGTCAATGGCAGACATAAAATGCTTCCAACCTCAGAGGGGGTTTCTGTAAGCCATTGCTCCTCATGCCTCTCTGAGGGGGGCCAGGTTCTGGCTCATGGTCCCTGGTAGGCATTAGATCTCCATTCAAAGGACTGATGCCATGGGTTAATACATGCATATCAGCTTGGTAAGCTCCGGGGAGCCTCTGGGACTCTCCCAAAAAATGGCATTTCATTACATTCAGCGCTGGGTTTTTTTACTTCCCCTGTAATAATTCTGCTTTCCGGATGTCAGGCTTATCCAGTGAGGAGGGGGGGTCTTTCCCATATTCTGTAGTCTGTATAAGTGAGCTTAGACAGTATGTCCTGTATTCCACTCTTCAAGTTGCACTGATCTAAATAGTTTTTGTCTCCTGCAAAACGGTTTGTGTTGCATCTTTGTGCCCATCTGAGTAAAGTACATCTACGTATTTGAGGTTCTCCTGCTTTTCGTCCCTAATTTTATTTCAATAGTTTTTGCTTTCTTTGTAGCTTGTTAAAATCAATGACATAACTCTTATGATGAGTTATGAGACCAACATTTTGCAACATGCTGTTGACAATTGCAGCTGCTGCCCAGTCTGATATCTATTCATGACTGTTAAAAGTATATCTATTGTGCAAAATTTTCATAGCTGTTGAACTACTTCGAGTCTCCATTTCATAACCACTTACAGGAGTACCTCAGTTTATGAATTTAATCCGTTCCTGGAGACGGTTCGTAACCCGAAAATTCGTAAACGGAAGTGAATTTCTTTCATAAACGGAAATGAATGAATAATGAAAAAATTATAAATAATTTTGATTTACAACTGTCATAAATTAACCAAAAGAATAATGAATCGGACAAAATATAGGAATTTTCCCTTTTTTGTCCCCCTTGAATATCTACCAAAATGGTTTTTTGCTAATAACTTTTTCTTGCACAAATAGAAAAAAAAGTTCCTCTTAAGATATAAAAATATATAGATTCTGCAAATTTTAAGCCATAAATCATGTTTCTTACACATGCGGTTGATGAATTACGGTCATCCTGCCCAATTTGACCCACCTGCGGAAGCATCCATAGCAATTGCTTGCCCAAAAAGGGTGACCATTGATGCCATCATCATCACTGCCTCCATTACAGCTACAAAACACACTTAATGGAAATCACTACTAGAAGTACCACAACCTCCACCACAGCTACCACATAATCACCATTAATAATCACTACGCACAAATCACAACTATTATAAATGTCACGAACCATTATTACCACTGCTAATATTACCATTATTACCATTATTATCACCACTAACACACTGCCACAACCACCCCATGGTTGCACAAACATTGTTACTTTGCCAAAGTTTCATGGTTACATTGACAAAGTTTCATTACACCAGCCTGGTCACATTTCATTGCTTGTGCTTATTACAGCAGCTTCTGCTCATTTACACAAGCCTATACTC